CTTCACTCATGCAAAAATTGTCCGATTTTATTTTTGGCGATTGCTTGACTTTGATTCTGGTACTTCATCAGCCTCCTTCGTAGGCAACACTGTGAAATAAGCGAAACCACATTCACCAATTCTTCCTCACGATACCCTATTGTCACCCACTTGCTCTGCCAATTATTGCCTTATTCCACCGTTAGTAATTCAATTTATAAAATATATAGGTAAAGTTAAATAACATGCATGCAATAATTGCGATTACTAAAATATTTGAAAATGTTAACAAAATTATATGAATTATTTATATATGAATTATTTTCTAAATAAAATTTCTATCTATCTATCTTTTCCTTACGGGCATCTTGCAATTACTATATTTTTGGTTTTGCACAGAAAACTGTATAAAGATAGTTGATATATATAGAGTTGTATATAGTTGATATATATAGATAGTTGTATATAGAGAGTTGCTATCGAAGGAACATTTTCCTCGTGGGTACCCGTAACATCTGGTGTTCCTCAAGCCAGTATATTGGGACCTTTTCTCTTCCTTCTGTGCGTAAATGACTTGCTTGACGTCCTTAGCAATTCAACATCTATTGCTCTTTTCACTGATGATGCTAAATGTTCCCGTGTGGTTCGTAACTCAGATGATTGTACTGCCCTTCAGCAAGATTTACATTCAGTGTCCGTATGGTCTCAAGATTGGGGACTTTCATTTAACAAGAACAAATGCGAAGTATTAAGAATATCTAGAAAGCGAAGCAGTATGCTGGAATCCCCTACCGTCAATCCCTACACCATCAATGACCACCCACTCGCTGTCGTTCCCTCATCAAAAGACTTGGGGGTCTTAGTTAACAACAAGCTGACGTAGGACCTCCAAATTTCTTCTGTTGTTGCCAAAGCAAACAAGACACTTGGCTTCCTACGACGACACTTCGGCGTTACCTTAACTGGGCCTGCCCACAGAAGGTCGATGTACTTATCACTGGTGCGTTCCAACCTAAGTTATGCTAGCGAAATCTGCGCTCCTCAGTCATGCAGAACGGACTTAAAACTATTGGAGAGTGTGTAGAGGCGAGCTACGCGTTTCATCCTCAACTGCAGCAACGATCATCATGTCCGACCCAACTACAAGTCCCGCTTGACTACTCTCAACCTGCTCCCTATTTCCTACTGGTTGGAGTGTCGTGACTTATGCTTTGTTTACAAGTATATGAGCGGTTCATTTAATGTACAGCTTGAAGATTACATACAAGTCTCAAGTGGTCGCACCAGGAGCTCTACTGATAGTTTAAATCTGTATCCAGTTCACCGTCTCCGTACTTCATTATTTAGAGACTCCTTCTTCAATCGTGTTGTAAAGCTTTGGAATAATCTACCACTTGAAATACGCAAATCATCTTCCATCAGTGCGTTTAAATCTCGTTTATATAAACATTATTTTATAAAGTTACGAACGTTTTTGATACGGACAGATTAAGTACGTGGAAGACAATATGTCCTTCTTGTAGGTCTATTGACAGCCCTTCCTGTTGTTAGTTAATAAGCAGCGAAGGTGTGTTACTGAGGAGAATGCTACACTGTACCATCCCGGTCTCTTCCTCAGATTGACTGTGCAATATGCATCCTTATCTTAAAACCAGAATTAGGGTTAGTACTATAGCGCATGGGTTAAGATTATTTTCCGAAATAATTTCCATTAAATTAATTTGTTTCAAGTGGCCGTTGGTATGTGCAGTCAACCTGAGCGAGAGACTGGGCTGTCTGTTCAGTGGTATTAGAGAACTTTTATTGAAGTTTTGTGTTTTCTTAATAGTGTAAATTTCTAGTTATAATTTATGTGCGGGGTTTGCCTTGTTGAGACTTCGAGTCCGTTCGCTGATCCCATATCTAACTCGCCTTTGTTGTAATGTCTTTTGTTTCGTTCTCATTTAGCATTGTAAATTTCGCGAGTTCGATTAAAGCTTCTTATGTATAGGAGCCACTCGGAGAATGCATACCTAGCTCCGCCAGAGAATTAAGTTATGTATCATGCAGACATTATACAATGCCATGCAATGGGCTAATTATTTACGCGTTCAATTTACTCTGCCCGCCATGAGGAAGACAAACTTTTGCTAATTTCTCATCCAATTTTCATCCAAATTTGACCAATTTCTCCTTGAGCAATTTCCATTAGTCCCACAAATTTTCGAATTAATACGTTTGATGTTCTTTAAGTTATTGTGCTGGACAAACACCCACATACATGCATGCACACACAAACGCGGATGAAAACATAACCTCCAGGCGGATGTAAATATCTCTCATTACGGTAAATTGCACTCGAATTTCACGTTACGGTGGGTTCGTGATTCATAGGAATTACTGTAGTAATTTCTCGCAATTTCACGAAGAATAAGAATAGCAATTCACGTTCCACGAGAATACACTTTACCGCCATCTTTAAGGAGTGCCGACGGTGCCGTTTATAAGATACACACGTAAAAACGCCCAAGTTGTTACAAATCTGCAAACAAGTTGTTGTCAAGTTTGTTGTCAAGCCGATATCAGGATGTGTTCGCACTGCTTGTTCCCAGTTGTTGTAACAAAGCTGGAACAAGTTGTTATCACGTTGCTATACGAGCTTGTTGGCATCAACTTGTTAACAATTTGTAATGTGATATTTTTACGCGTATGTACGAGACGTTTATTGGAGAGTGGGCGTTTATTAAATCATTTACGGATGGTATGTTATATATGTGTGTTTCTAGATACGTCAGTTGGTGAAATTGAGGAGACATTCAACACATTTACCAGTCGTGGTGATATCGCCATCATATTGATCAACCAAGTAGTAAGTATTAGCCATTCCGAAGTTGATGAGTGGACTGGGGACGAGTGTTAATTAAAAAGTCCCCAAATTAAGGAATTGACCAAATCACTGGAAACTGCAGCACCTCGAAATTGGTAGGTACACAAAGCTTTGACGACGTTTGGATGTATAGCGTCTGAATAAAGAGCTTTCAAAAATTGTGAAACTACTGATTAAAAGACTGTTTTTGGGACGCGCGTCCCCGAAAACAAAAATTACAGCACATTTCGTAGTAAATATAGCCTGTGTACAGCCGTTACTGTCGACGAAGCGCGCGAGAGAACGTCTGTGAGTTGGATGAAGATTCCTTGTTCTGGTCACGTGGATTTTCCCCAGATTTGTGGAAAGGCCTCTGATTGGACAGTGCTTTATTTGAATAATATATGACAAATGAAGATGAATGAATGAATGAATGAACAACTTTATTTAAAGAGGGTAAAAACACATGACAGCAATATAACTGAAAAACCTGTGGCCCTCATATACAATACGTACAAAGTTATTAATTCTACTTTAAAACGTCTAAAAGCTATTTAGAGTAAATATGTAAAAGATCTTAGGATTATAAATTTATATATACAAATTATATACAGTACAACTTGCTGATTACAATAATAATTCAAAGCGATCAATGCCCTTATAAGATTCTAAGAAGTATTTTTTAAGGGCAAACTTAAAGGAATTAACGCTAGGTTTCGTCTTAATATCCTTCGGGGGATTGTTTATATTTCATTGGTTAATTGATAATTAGCACGCGTTTAAAATAACAATACAATAATTTTATATTCAGAGGTTTCCTCAAGAATCGAGATTTCTTTCGGGGCGTACAAAGGTTTGAAAGACTTGAAATATAATCTGAAAAACGATACACCAGAAATATATTGCATATATTTCTCGATGAAGAGATTTGTTTTGAATGTGAACAATTCTGAACGATGATCATAGCCGGCAAGTCTGGTGTACAAGCTCCGTTCTTGCCGTACATATGGTGTATAGTTGTTTACAAACACAAAGTATTAAATATAAACACAACTTGTTATTCAAAAGGTGCATTTTAAATTAATTAAAAGTTAACTGGCCAAGTAAGACGAAGTTAAACATATTAAAGAGAATGCTTTGTCTCGGGGAGGGGGAGATATAAACATATTGTCAATTATAAATTGTCAATTTCGGTCCGATAGTTTGTTGTATTTTATATATTTGTCAGCATTGTTCGCTGAGTGTCCAAACACTAGAATTTTATCTTCATTTTCTTAACTTCGATACAGCACAAAATTAAACGCAACTGATTTAATATATTTCAAGTCTTTCAAACCTTTGTATGCCCCGAAGGAAATCTTGATTCTTGAGGAAATCTCTGAATTTAAAATTATTGTGTTGTTATTTTAAACGCATGCTAATTATCAATTAACCAATGAAATATCTTATCTTCATTTGTCATATATTTTTCAAATAAAGCACTGTCCAATCAGAGGCCTTTCCACAAATCTGGGGAAAATCCGCGTGACCAGAACAAGGAATCTTCATCCAACTCACAGACGTTCTCTCGCCCACTTCGTCGCGTCGAGAGTATAACGGCTGTACACAGGCTAAGTAAATATCGCGATTTTCGAAAACTTATTATTCGAAGGGTATTCATGTAAACGTCTTCAAACTTTGTATACTTACTAATTTTGAGGTTGTCGTTTTAGTGATCAGGTTCTTTTCTTAATTTGGGCACTTTTTAACACTCGTCCCAGTCCTCTCATCAACTTCGGAATGGCTACGTTATATTAAAGCACAGTGTCAATGGTAAAGTATTCGCATAGAAATTGAGAACATGGCTCAAGTTTTGTTCCGCTGAAAGGGAAATTGCAGGAAACGTCTTTAACTATAAAAATTAATACAGTACATTCGTATACACTTTCTCCGGAAAAGTCAGGTGTTAACAGTTGCATTAGCGGCACAACGATGTTTTCCTAGAAAATCTGCACCCAAATTGCCATATGCGTTTAGGCAAAATTATTCAATCAAAATATGTCAACACAAATACTTCGTTTCTTCGTAATACTTCTCTGTGAAAATTGTTACGGGTGTTAAAGAGTCCACATTCAAGAGTATGCATGCGTTTTAGAATCTGCTGCAAGTTTTCTTGCACTTCCAGTCTTGCACGATCCCAGGGCCTATGAAGGACGCGCTCAGCCTGCGTGTTTTGAAGTTTGAACCTATACTACCTGAAAACATTAAGACCACCTCGACATTTAGAGCGACGTTCCTAAACTACAGTACCTCCTGATGAAGAAGGGTTTTCGCTCGTATAACGGTTTGAGAAGTAAACCCTCAAACCGTTATTCCTAAAGGGTGGCTCCCCGGCGTGAATCATGGCGGCTTTGCCCGTTTAGGTCGAAGCTTATACAATCCGTAAAGTGTTTGTAAAACAAAATGTTGCCAAAATTTCTTATTGCATCACTTAAAAATATCTTCAAAATATATCAGAATAGCAAGCAATTACCATATAATACACTTTCAAGTGGTGGAATAAAAAATGGAGGCAAGATTTCGTTTCACAAATCAGAATACATAGCACAATTTAAAATAACATGGATTGATTTTTAGATAGCAGAAGAAATCCGCCATGTTTTAGACGCTTATACAGATGCAGTTCCAGCTGTTTTAGAAATTCCTTCAAAACATCATCCTTATGATCCATCAAAAGATTCCATATTGCGGAGAGCTAAGGTACGCAGTAAAAATAATGATTGGCAGCTTTAACGTTATGTCATTGCGATTTCCCGTTCTGGTTTATTGCTATTTGAGCTGTTTGGTGCAATTGAATGCTATATACTATGCTCATTTTCCACTACGCGAATTCGTTTGCGCGAAGCAAAGACCATGCAGGTTGCAGCAATATGATTGGTTAGCGGAAAAGTTGGCACTTGCCTAATGCGTAGTCGTCAGGGAGACAAAAGGGTTTGACCCTTGTCCCTTGCCAACTGGAAATTTATAAATCACCCGCTCGACCGGGAATTTAGAGATTAAATTCCCGCTCGGAACAATAGAATCCCGTCCAGTCATGGTATTACTCTGGTTAAGTAAATGAATGCAAAACCCTGATATAAAAAACATCCACCACAGGCACAATATTGCATATTTTGGCTAATTTACGTTTATTTTTCTGTAGGGCCTTTTCAGTGCAGAAGATTTCAAGTAAAAACTTTATTTAGTTTAAATAATTTAATGTTAGTTGTTATAATTAATTAATGTAATGAATGTAATTATTAGTTGCAGAATTTGACAAAAATGGTCTTGTCTGGCGACCTTGTGTCTCCATCATTCTCCGTAAGTCGAGAAGCTTCGGAGAGTTTCCTATAGGTTACAACAAAAAACTGTGACACACGACGTTTTTAGTCTGAGAGTCATACCTGATATTAAAATTTTCCTGGGGATACCAGTGGTCTCCGGATTGGCAGACACACTATATTGCTTATGGAATGTGCAGTGATAGAAAATTTATAAATTAGGTATGCTAAGTACATGTATACATGTACTTGTAGGTTTTTTACATGGAGCAAGTTCTACATGGGATAATTACATTGGAACAACTTGCAACAGTATGTAACATTTGTATGTTTCGTGCCCAAATATGTAATACAGTTATCACAGGGTGTGTAAAAAAGAGGTTATCCAACTTCTGCGCTCAATATCGAATGCACAGAAACAGTTTTGTGTACCCAAGATCGCCAATGTTTCCCGAGCTAGGATATATATATATTGTTATATAGTGTTTCACGCTATTACATGCTGTTAAATCGTGTTGCACATTGTTACATGCTGTCACATAATGCATTGTGTCTCAATCCCATGCAGATGTCTAAATTCCCAGTCCGATCCGAAGGTAAAAAAAAACGTAAACGTAATCCGATCCAATTTTATAACTTGGATTATATTCTGACCAGTTTAGAAACAAAATCTGGCCGGGCATATTTTTCAAGCTCGCCCGGTGTGGATATGCACTCAGAGTAACATCGCAAACATATTTTGGCCAATGTTGAAAGTCCCTGCTTAAAATGTTTTAAGAATATACATAAATACTAGTATCTGCTGAAATGAGCTGCACATTCCATTCTCTCGAACCGCCAATCACAGGAACAGTGCCGGATTAACCATATGGCAGAAGCGGCATATGCCACGGGCCCCGCGCATTTGGGGGCCCCGCGCTTCTCTCTTCTATTTCTTTTTCTGAATTTTTTGTTCCCTGTTTCAGCGCGGGGCCCAAACTGTGCGCTCGAAAGAGCCCAAGTCCCCCAGAAAACTCGAGGACGCAAAAATCGACCCCAAACGTTTTCTTTTTGTTCCCTGTTTTAGTGTTTCAGCGCGGGGCCCCAAAGAGCCCAAGGTCCCCAGAAAACGTTATAGGCCCAAACGTTATAGGCCAAAATTTAAAAATAGAGAACCCAAAGTGAGGGTCCCCAAACGATTTTTTTGTTCTCTTTTTTAGCGCGGGGCCCTAAAGAGTCCAAGGCCCCGAAAAGCGAAACACCAAACTAAAAAAACCGCGAGGCCCCAAAGTTAAAATTAAAAAGGCGAGGCTCCAAAAGCAGGCCTGCAAACACAAAATTTTTTATTCCTTCTTTGGGCAAGGGGCTCCAAAAAGCGATCGCAAGGCCAGAAAATCATAGGGTTCAGAAAATTTCAAAATTTGCAGCGAACTGTTACATACTAAAAGATCGTTGAAATTCGTGGAAGACGGCAGAAGCCTTATATGGACGCTATCATGTTTAGCTATTTTTCCCCTGTAAATAGAAATAATGTTAATTGTATAAAGTGCGTTGAATTTCAGTTCGATCAAATTGTCTTTTTTTGTAAATACACAGGAAACTTTTCAACGCATGAAATACAAAAGGATATTTTTAATTCTGACTGAATTCAGGGTCTAAA